AAATTAGGGCTTTTGCCATTAAATGAGAATGCACATTGCCCAGGAGTATCATCGTGGTGGTGGGGAGGCTGAGTGTTTCTGGAGTGTCCAGAATGGCCACTTATCTTGAATTTGGTTGTCACTTCTGTCTGCTGCTTGTAGATGCTCTGTTGATATACCCTACTGATGGTGGCCTTGCTTGTTCAGCTTGCTCCCGGGCTTTGGGGAGCGCAAGGGGACATCCCACGCTCTGTGGGAACAGGTTCTGCACCTCCTCTTTGATGTTCCGTGCTCAGGACCAGAGTTCTCCAAGAGGCTCTTTCTGAATTCTGTTCTGCCTGGGAGGGCCTTGCTCTATTGGGGGCAGTGTTTCTCTGCTTATCCCACACTCAGCGGGAGTGCGTGTGGGGTTCATCTGCAGCTTCCGAAGGGCTCTTTTCTTTTTAGGGATGTTCAGTTTCCCAAATGTTTCCCCATATCTGCTTTAAATCTCTGCCTGTTCAATTTCCTGATAAGGGAGCAAAAAACTCTAGATGAATTAGGTTTTACAAAAATTTACCTCTTTATAGTTAGAACAGTCTAGGTTACAGGATGTGAATTTTCATAAAATGTTACCTTGTGAACTGGTCTTTTTTTTTTTTTTTTTTTTTTTTTTTTTTTAATAGAGACCGGGTTTTTCCATGGTGGTCAGGCTTGTCTCAAACTCCCAACCTCAGGTGATCCACCCCGCCTGGGATCCCAAAATGTTGGGATTACAGGGGTGAGCCACTGCTCACACAGCTGTGAACTGGTCTTGATTATCCTTTGTCCTGAATTAGCATTTCCCTTCGAGGGTACAAGTAATTGTAAGGTTTAGAGCTGGAAATGAAGTAGGTCCCTCTGCGAGTTGGGGTTTGTGGAGTCTCACTCTATGTGCAAACTGCTTTTACATGTGTAATCTTATTTGATCCTTTTTTTGAGACAGGATCTCATTTTGTTTCCCAGGCTGGAATGCAGTGGTACAATCAGCTCACTGAAGCCTCAACCTCCTGAGCTCAAGCAATCCTCCCACCTCAGCCTCCCAAGTAGCTGGGACTACAGGCATGCACCTCTGCCACATCTGGCTGATTTTTTTTTTTTTTTTTTTTTTTTAAGCAGAGACAAGGTCTTGCTATGTTGCTGAGGCTGGTCTCAAACTCCTGGCCTCAAGTGGTCCTCCTGCCTCAGCCTCCAAAAGTGTTGGAGTGGACCACTATGCTTGGCCACATGTATTATAATCCAGGCTATAACCTGTGGCATGGTCCTTCATTTTGCAGATGAGGATATTGTGGCTCGAGGAGGTTCAGTAACATCCCCAAGTTCATGTGTCCTAAGCAGAGCAGCTACCTAAACATTTTGATCTTCAAATTTGGATTCCTTTTTTTTTTTTTTTAAATGGCACCAAACTGCCTCCTAGCTTCTTCCTTGGTGGAAACACTTAGGGGGACCCATGCAGGCTTTCTCTGATCAAAGCCATTCCCAGGCCAGTTTACCTGGGTCACAGGCTTTCCAATACATTAGAGCTGGCTGGGGACCCCTGAGCCCCTTCCAGCACTGTTACTCTGTAGTTGAGAAAAGGTGTTCTAGAGAGTGAAGTGACTTGCCAAGATTGGACAGTGAATTTGTTTGCCGATTCTTTCTAGGTATTTGTTGAGTGCCTATCGTGTGCCAGTATCAGAACACATGATAAAGCAATGAACAAAACACAAACATTCTGATCCTCTGGGAGCTCAAATGGAGGTTTCCATATTTCTGTGCTTTCACTTCCTCTTCTTTCCTAAGCTTCTAGACAGCTCTTTTATCCCTCTGTGGACTCAGGGAATGCAAAGTAATTTTAGTATAATTTTTTTGGGTTGAACTCAGGGAGATAGGTGACTCAGCAGAGGAAAAGAAGTTACATAATTGATTCCAAAACTGAGAGAAAGGTACTTGGTTTGCTTATTTCTTTTTAATATGTATTCTTTTTATAAGTGTTTCTTGAGCACATAGTATATGCCAGGTACTGTTCTAGGTCCTAAGAATTTTACAAGTGAGCAAAACTGAAGGTGTTGGCGGTTGAGTCACACCAACACCCGGGGGGTGGTAGGAGGTCATGTTTTGACTCCTTAGTGACCATCAACCTGTGATCTGAACTTTCTTCAAGGTAGGTGAGTATTAGCTCGTCACAGCGGTCCCCATTTATCCTCAGCCTGCCAGGCCGGTGATGCCACTGTGGGGTATCAAGATGGCGGTGTGCCCTCCCAAAATGATGAATGCTGACCTGCTACGTTTCTGCTCTCCGAAATATATTTTCTGATTCTTTGCTCTACAGAAGTGCCCTAAACATTTGAGTTTTTACATAAGAACGTTTCTTATCTAGCATTTCTGTCACCACCTGCAGCTTTTGCCACAAAAACACAGTGACCTCTACAGCTGGGAAGAAGAGTAGGTAGAGTCTGAGCAAGGATGCCAGGAAAACCTTGTGTTTATAAAAAGCTCTCTGTAGGTCAGTGAGGGCAGGCCAAACCTTTCCATGTCCTTGTAGGAATCCTGGGTGCTGTTTTGATTGTTTTTTTTTTTTTTTTTTTTTTTTGAGACGGAGTTTTGCTCTTGTTGCCCAGGCTGGAGTGCAATGGCGCGATCTTGGCTCACTTCAACCTCCGCCTCCTGGGTTCAGGCAATTCTCCTGCCTCAGCCTCCTGAGTAGCTGGGATTACAGGCACGCGCCACTATGCCCAGCTAATTTTTTGTATTTGATTTTTTTTTTTTTTTTAAAGGAAAGGCTGTTTTAAAGCATGCAGGGTTTTGTGTTAATTTTCTCATTAGCATTTTCTCAGTCAATAACCCCTGAAGTCTCTTCTGACTACAGGAGTCTCCCTGGCCCCGGTTCCTTCTGCAACCTCTGCTTTACCTCCAGTGATGGGGAACTCACTACCAGATAGGATAGCCCATTCCTGGTTTAGACAGAATGGCTATAATCCATGTCCTAGGTATTATCATCACCAACTGGAAAGACTTCTTCCTATGACAATTTTTTTTTCCCCCGCAGGGAGGGTAATTATAGCAACTCATATATGTCTCTTTTCTTCCCGTAAAACTCTTCCCACCTCCACCAATGGGTTTACGTTTAAAATAGCCTCTGTTCTGTTTTGGGAGGCATCTCCCTGGCTTCTGGTTTGCCAATGTTCTTCTGATAATCTGACATCCACCACTGACCTCTAGCCCCTGCTTTTTGGCCTGGCCCCTTTGAAGCACCTGGAGCTGGCGGAGGGAGAAGTGTGGCGGGATGGAAGATACTCTTGAGTCAGGAGCTGGCGGTGATCCGCTTTGCTCTGTGGTAGGTATTAACTACGTTCCCAGGCCTGTTTCCTGCTCCCAAATGCCAACATCCCTGCCTCTTAAGTGAGGTTTAGCTTAATCCCCAACCTTACCTAAATGTTATTTCTTTTATTATTCAGAGCTGTGGGCAGAATCTCCCTGTGTCATTGAGAGTGTAGGTGGGGATGCACTGGCGGGATGCCCTCCCCACTTGCAATACTTTCTCTTGCATCTATTGTTCCACAGCCCCGTCCAGCTAGGATGATCCTGGTCTCCTCATGTTGTTTGTTAGGATGTCTTCGGGGTTCAGACTGGGCATCCTCCTCATTTCACCAGCAGAGGATACTGAGGCCCAAGGGATGGAGGTTATCTCATCTCCCCTTCTCAGGGCAAGCAGCTAGAAGCCCTGGAGCAAGGTGTGAGCTGTAGCCCCTGAGAAATAGTCTATTGTTTAGCAGTTGTGGAGTTGCTCAGGAAGCTTCCAATTGGTGAGCCAGTCAACAGTCACTGGGATTTGCACAGAAGCCCCGAAACTCTGCCCAACCCCTCCTTGCCTCCTGAGCTGGGTAGGCTGGCTCAGCCTCAGGGGAACACCTGATAAGCCCCCAAAAGTCCACTGTGTCTAAATACTGAGGGTCTTTGCACACAAGGCAGAAATGGAGCACTGTCAGAACACAGCATTGAGTTGCCAGTTAAGCGGTACTCCTTGAGGTCAGGCAGGCATGTTAGTCTTGATTTTGTATGTGTAGTGCCTGACGCATACTAAGTGCCCAATAAAAATAAGCTTGGTGGCAGCCTGCCCATATGGTGGGTTAAAATGGAAAAAGCTCATTCCTTTTTAGCTTGAAAATGTTCTCCAAACTCCTGTCCTGTTCCAGATGCTGTGGAGGGCTATAGAGGTGCTGTCTCAGCCCTGCCCTTGAGTGGATTTGGGAAGGAGACCTTTCATAAGAACACTGTGCACTCATTCCTGGATGGTATAGTGTAGCTGTGGAAGTGCTGGCTGCCCACCTGCCTTCACTTTGGAGAGCCCACACTTGAGGGGTCCTTTGGAACCTGATGGCTGCTCTGCATGTGGAAGGACCGGGAGGCAGGTGAACGTGCTGGTAAAAATCACCTCTCCTCCTTGGGTGGCAGGCCATTTGTGGTATGTCTTATTAGTTGGCAAAGAGGACATTAGGGCTTTATTTATTTATTTTTGAGATGGAGTCTCACCCTGTCTCCCAGGCTGGAGTGCAATGGGCGTGGTCTTGGCTCACTGCAACCTCCACCTCCCAGGTTTAAATGATTCTCCTGCCCCAGCATCCCAATAGCTGGGATTACAGGTGCCCGCCATCACACCCAGCTAATTTTTGTATTTTTAATAGAGACGGAGTTTTACCATGTTGGCCAGGCTGGTCTCAAACTCCTGACCTTGTGATCTGCCCACCTCAGCCTCCCAATGTGCTGGGATTACAGGTGTGGGCCACCCTGCCTGGCCGGCTTTATTTATTTTGTTAGAGACAGGGTCTTGCTCTGTTAACCAGGCTGGCCTGGAACTCCTGGGCTCAAGCGATTCTCTGGCCTCAGCCTCCTGAGTAGCTGGGACTACAGGTGTACACCACTGTGCCCAGCCTAGGACATTAGGACTTTAATTCACTGAATTGGATTTCACACCGTGTGTACCCTCTGGATGGGGGAGAGGTGGTGGTGGTGGAGCTGGCTGGGGAGCAGGAGGGTGAGGTGGCAAGGATGTGCAGGGTTGAATTTTCTCCTTTTTCTCTGCAAATAGTGCTAGCACCCTGATGGTACACCCTACTGCCAGCCCCGCAAAAACTTATTGAAGCACCGCCCACCAACACATTGACCTTCCTTTCTTCTTCTGCCTGCCTGACTTTGTAAGTGAGCCCCTAGCTTTTTGTCAGGAGTGGGGCTATGGATCTGTATGTAGCACAGTGGCATCATTTGTCAAGTGCCCTCCCTGGGCCACTGTGTCAGGCACTCGCGATTGCTGCAATGCCTGTAATTAGCGTCCCAGGTTACCTGGCTGTCCTTCTCACTTGCACTGCCTTTTTCCTTTTCACCCTTCCCTCCTAGCCCCTTTAGTCTTCTGTCTCTTCTCACTGGGGACTCAGTCCTCTCATCTGTCTTCCCTCCCTCCCTTCCTAAGGGGCCTTTTCTCGATTCTCTGGGGAAACCACATAGGCCTCCGCTAACCCATTGAGCCCCATTCCATCCACCCAGAAGATGTGGAGTAAGGTGAGGGGGCTTTACCCCCAGTGTTGAGGCTGCCAGGCCTTCTGTGTCTGCATGATTTTATGAAGTCTGTCCTGTCAAAACCAAGAGGCCAGGGAAAGTCCCTAGGTTTATTCTTTGAAGACCTCTTGAGCTCTTTTGCTGAGCACAAAGCTTGTGGGGCAGGTGGAGGAAGACTTTCGGAAATGGAGAGAAGGCCAGTGGATGGCTGATGACTTGCAGATGTGGGTAGAATACGGGAGGGAGAAGCGGCTCCCAGGGCACCCGCGCTGAGTCCCTTTTGGAGCTTGGCCCCCTTTGCACAAGCTCTGTGTTGGGGTGGGAGCGGCTTCGAGGCAGTGGAGGGCTTGTTTGGCAGCCGGCGCCCATCAGACAACTGGAAAGTGCCAGTGCCTGCGTGGCCATCTGTCCCCACCGCCTAGCTCCCGGCCGCCTTCTGCTTCCCACAGAAGGGCCCACGCTGTTCTGCAGCACAAGGGCACAGGGCCTGGCTGGGAGGGGCAGGCACAATTCCATTTCGCCTTTGTTTATTCCCATCTCCTTTGCGGCTCCTGCACTTGGGAGTTGCCAGGTGTGTAAAAAGTTTGAGGTGCCCTGGCTAGTCAGGTTGTTTGGTGGGGCTCTGGCGGGAAGGAAAGGTGGATGCGTGTGGCGTTTCCTTTGCTCGGTGTCTGTTTGTCCAACTGTGGACTTTCACCCCTCCCCGCGGCCGCTGGTTTTCTTTTTTCTTGCTTTGATTTGTAAAAGCGCAGCCAAAGCAGGCCAGCTCTCCGGGATTTGGGCTCATCTGCACGCCACCCTCTCCAAGCTAGTTAAAGGGTTAAAAATTATGGGGAAGTTCAGCCGGCACTTGCAAGATATGGTTGCCGTAGCAACAGGCCTTCTAATCTGGTAGGTGACCTGAGAGACTGGAGAAGATGTAGGGGTTGGTTTGGCATTTCATTATTTCATGAGGCTGCCTCTCCAGCTGGTTTCTTTGCTGAGCTTAAAGCTTGCTGTTCCTGCCACTAGAATTACTGGCACATTCCAAAACAACAGTGTTGATGGCACGAGCACTGCGTTAATGGGGGTCTGGCCAGGCGGGATGGGCGGAGGAGAGGGAGCTGGGTTCCAGGAGCGCTCACGTGGGACTGTGTCCCCTTGCACAAAGCAGGAGGTGTTGATAGAGGGATATGTGCAGGGGTTTGCCCTCCTGTATACAATAGCCGCCTTCTTGAAACACCACCTCACATAAAGAGTTTTTTTGGAGGACTTTAAGATAACTCCTTTAGTTTTCCAAGAAGCCTCCTTAAATTTGGGGGGCAGGGGAGCTGTCTGAATATGGGGGAGAGACTGGGCACGGTGGCTGACGCCTATAATCCCAGCACTTTGGGAGGCCGAGGGGGATGGATCACTTCAGGCCAGGAGTTCCAGACCAGCCTGGCCAATATGGTGAGACCCTGTCTCTATTAAAATTACACAATTTAGTCAGGCATGGTGGCATGCACATGTATGTACTCCCAGCTACTTGGGAGGTTGAGGTGGGAGAATTGCTTGAACCAGGAGGCAGAGGTTTCATTGAACCGAGATCGTGCCACTGTACTTCAGCCTGGGTGACAGAATGAGACCCTGTCTCAGAAAATACATCAGTAAAATAAATTTGGGGGAGATCTCCATTGTAATGTCTGTGGTTGGTGCCTGCCTCTTGAATTTTTCTCCAGATAGATATTGTCTAGAAATTCGGCTCAATTGAGCACAGTAGCCTTATGTCTGCTATGTGCCCGATGCAGAGAGGAACAGGACAGAGTGCCTGGTCTCATTCATTCTCTCATCAGACATTTGTTGGACGCTGCATGTGGCAGGCACTGCAGCAAAGGGGCAGGTCACATCGCTGTCCTGGCCTGAGATTCTCCCATTGTGTGAGGGACCTTCAAAGCAAGAGCAGGAGAGGAGGAGGAAACAACCCAGCCTCACCCTCCCCTTCCTTTTAGAGGGACCTTGTGTCGAGGGCAGCAAGCAGTCTTCTGGCCTTGGGAAGGCATGAGGCATTCATGGTTTTTCATTCACCTTTCTCTTTTCTGCCCCTTTGCTCTTGGACGTAATTACTGGGAAATCCACAGGCTGGGTAGATGGCATGTACAGATGGTGTGTTCTGAAGTCTGCTCCTCCCTAAGCGCCGTGTCTTACACAGAGTTGTATGTTACATTAGGCCCAGATTCACAGAGATCTCCGATTGGTTGGCTTCCTGGGTTTCTTGTTTTTGTGAATTTCTTTCCCCTGGAGAGGTTAGTGTTCCTGGGATTTGTGAGGGGGAGGGGAGTGGGCTGGAGAGGAGCTTAGAGTACTTACTGGGACTTCATGTGGCTTACTCCCTCTCCCCATCTCCGTTGTAAGCTCCTGGAGGAGAGGTCTGTGTGTTAGAGGCCCAGCAGGTCTTTGTGGAAGTTCCTTGCCCCCTCGTTAGATGCGACCACCAAAGACCAGAGAGACAAGGTCATGACAAGGGTGCTAGCATGTATACTCCTGGGGCTCTGGGATCCGGCAGGGGTACCTCCCCATTTCACCCACTGCCTCATTTCTCTCCTGTAGTTTGTGGGTTTGCCATTCAGTGGGGTGCATATCAAGAGTCCATTGAGGGTCCCAGCATTGGCTTATGTTTTATGGGATTGGGTGGAAAGACTTGCCTCACCGTACCGTGTCATCCCTGGGCTGTCCACCCGCCCTGCATGTAGCAGGTGCATGGGAGAGGTCGGCCTGGCATGTGGTTTTGATGAGTGGGTATATGAGGGGCTGGTAGGTGTACTGATGCTACAGAAAGCGGAGCAGACATGCAGCCTTGTAAGGCTGTGGAGTCTGTAGGCAGTAGTATGCAGTGGCTCCAGGCTTTCTAGGTAAGATCAGGTTGCGGGTAGTGGAATGGGAGTCTCATCTTTTGTTGGGCATCCTGGTGCAGCATTGAGATGGAGGAGTGCTCTTGCGTAGTGGGGGGAGTGGCCAGGACACTGAAGGCCTGGATGTGTGTCCAGCTTGGCTTCTGGTCCCTGTATGTTTTGGGGGAGTCAGCCCCCTCTGTGCTGCGGTCTCCTCATCTGTAGCATGAAGGCGCTGACCTGATCATCTATGATCCTTCTCAGTCCCTCAGCCCATGTCTGGATGGAAAGAGAGATCTCAGCAGAGTCTCTGCACTGCTGGGCCTCAGACTGGTTTCGCTATATAGAAGATGGCTTTAAGGTGTATCCGGCTTGTGTGAATTTTGTCCCATTCCGTGTAGTTCCTCGAGGGTTTACTGAATGCCACTCCCCTTGCCCCAGGCTGCGTGGGTGGGATGGGGCAGGCCAGCCATCTAGAGCAGCCTCTGATCCTGCCTACATTTCTCTGACTTCCGTGACGCCTGCAAGAGGGTGGCCAGAATTGGGATCCGACAATGTACCTGGGTCACCTGGATACTTGGAAAACTCCCATTTCCCTTCTGGGAGAAATCTTGACTTGGTGGGGCTAGCATAGAGGGGGCACAGAGTTTTTCAGAGTGGACACATCTCAGAGGAGTAAAGGGAAAAATCTTTAAGGTTGAAGCCTCTGGGGAAGGCCTGGCCAAATGTGTATAAGTCACAGGGCTGGAGGTGGGTGTGGAGCTGAAGATTTTCTGGACCCTCGAGGATCTGAAAGCAGAGGTGACCTTTCAGGTTACCCTTTCGGCTTAGATTTTGGCCTGCAGTTTTCCCCTCACAATGGGCCTGATTTCCACCGAAAGGAGTCTGCCCTGTTCCAATTAGAGTGTCAGGGCCTTGTTAGATGCAAAATAAATAAAACAAACTTGTGTATCCAGCTCTACAACTGGCTGGGGCCCTCTGAGAGCTGTCCTCCCCGTGGCAGGGGTGTGTGGGGACCGGGGCAGGTGAGGAAACCTAGGGCCACCCAGGGGATGGGATGATAGTCTGAGGACACAGTGCTGCCGGCCGGTCTGCCTCTCCTCTTCGCCCGCTGCCACGTGTGTCTCCTGGAGTTCTCAGGTTTGCTGTTCAGAGTCTGTTGAGGGCCCGGTGTCGGCTCATGTTTTGTGGGACTTGGGTGGCTTTTGTGCTCTATTGTGAGGGATCTGGCTTAAGCCCCATGGATTGTGTTGAGGTTCCTGTTTAGTCATCCTGTTTTAGAGTGGAGGAAAACTGACAGTTTACTCTCAGATTGAAGTTTCCAGGCAGTTGATTGAGATGGGAGTTCTCAGGTCTTGCATTGTCTGCATCTTTCTATTAGCAGTGGTGATGGTAGTGAGTGCAGTGCCGATCATACTAGATGCTTGCATGGTCAAATGGTGAGATGCAGCTTCCTGCAAGGTGAGACTCGGGAGATGATGGCCAGCCTGCTCTCCGCTTGCCATGTTCCATTAACATTGCTATAGGAAGACCCCAGATGGATGACTTTGTCTTCTGGAGGCTGAGAGGTGAAGGCAGGGAAGGAAGGGGTTTGGAGCTGAGATGAAGCCTCATAGGAAGCGGCGTGACTCAGTGGGGACAGTTTCTGACAGAAGATTCCCGAGGGGTGTTTTGTGGAGAAGTCACTTGAAGAAGCCACCTTACCCATCAGCAAAGAAGTTTGGACCCATTTGTTCTCTCTGGAGTTTGCCACTTTGTAGAATAACAAGGTAATTTCCTGCTAGCTGAAGTAGGACTTGAATCAGTTTCCTTCAAGCTTCCTAAGGCACCTAGTGCTACTTCTGAAGTTTTACGCTTTTGGTCCTTTTATGTACCCCGAACCCAGTCTAGCCCAAGGCTGTTCAGACCAAGGGGACTGTTTTTTGGTGGTTGGTTGTTTTGTAGAGACAGGGTCTCACTTTGTTGCCCAGTCAGGTCTCAAACTCCTGGCTTCAAGGGATCCCTTGCCTCATCCTCCCAAATAGCTGGGACTAACAGGTGTGGGTCACCAGGCCTGGTCAAGATTGGGGGACTTCCTGTGTTTTGCTTTCCATGCTGTGGAAGCCTGTTGGTTTGCTGGAATACACATTGCTCTTGAGCTCACCAGGAGCTCCTTCTGGAGAACAAACTTACAGATGTTTGGAAGAGTGGGTGGATGGATAGATGGGCAGTGTGCTCAGCTGGGCCAGATCAAGTCAGGAGTCCTTCCCAAATGGCATTGGGGATGTTTCTACAGCTGGCAGCAAGCTAGTCCCAAAACGGGGGTTCCCATAAGGGCCCAGTGAGGTCACTCCCTGGGAGTATCTGCTGGAGGTTCATCTCTGCTAGCTTGGCCTGTTGAGGACCCCTGTCTTAGGTGAATATCCCACACATCAGAGGAATATGAAAAGATGAAGTAAGATTGTTGTTAAAGTTTCATCTATACTTAGATTAATATAGCATTGCTACCGAGATCCATGACTTTGAGCATTTGTGGCCTCAGTTCATAGGCGACTGGAGTCATTTATAACCTTCCTGAGCATAACTTGAATCTTGGCCCAGGAGGCAGGTGGGCCCGTGAGTCACTAAGCTGGTGGGTCAGCCTTTCTGGCAGTCTGCAGCTCACGGGCTTCGCGTGTTTCATACGTAATCTAATGTCATCCTTGCAGTAACCTTGGGAATCAGGTATAATTGCTGCCGTTCTGTACCTGAGAGAACCAAAGAAGCGATGTGTTCTGTACATGCTCATTTTGAAAAACAGAAAGAAGAAAAAAGTCACCCACCACCAGGACTAACTCTGTGCTAACTTTGAGAGTATTCCTTTTCAGGCTGTTTTCCTTCTTTTACTTAACTTTTGCACATCATTATCTTCTGGTCAAAAAATTCTCATTTTAAAAGAGAGCATTTAAGGCCAGGTTAAGGCCGGGCACGGTGGCTCACACCTGTAATCCCAGCACTTTGGGAGGCCTAGTAGGGAACATTGCTTGAGCTAGAAGTTCGAGACCAACCTGGGCAACATAACGA